GCATTGAAGATGAAATGTGGCTGGGTCTTTCAGCATGACAATGATCCCAAACACACCGCCCGGGCAACGAAGGAGTGGCTTCGTAAGAAGCATTTCAAGGTCATGGAGTGGCCTAGCCAGTCTCCAGATCTCAACCCCATAGAAAATCTTTGGAGGGAGTTGAAAGTCCGTGTTGCCCAGCGACAGCCCCAAAACATCACCGCTCTAGAGTAGATCTGCATGGAGGAATGGGCCAAAATACCAGCAACAGTGTGTTAAAACCTTGTGAAGACTTACAGAAAACGTTTGACCTCTGTCATTGCCAACAAAGGGTATATAACAAAGTATTAAGATTAACTTTTGTTATCGACCAAAAAAAAATTTTCCACCATAATTTGCAAATAAATTCTTTAAAAATTAGACAATGTGATTTTCTGGATTTTTTCATTTTTTCTCATTTTGCCTCTCATAGATGAGGTATACCTAGGATAAAAATTACAGGCCTCTCTCATCGTTTTAAGTGGGAGAACTTGCACAATTGGTGGCTGACTAAATACTTTTTTGCCCCACTGTATGTATGTAGAGTTCACTCTGTGTTGAAATGAAAAAGCGATATGAACAGCGACAGCACAATCCAGGATAAGATAATCTGGTGGTTTGTTTCTGTGATACATCAGTGAAAATCATGTTACTTAGCTCCTTGAAATCTTCTAATAATTATTGTTTTTTTAATTTATTTGAATAAGCTAATAACTCCATCAACCAGTGCTACTCTTATGAACTGCTTCCTAAAGCAAAGCAAGTTGTAACCTTGGGTAGAATTCCTAGAATCCCATCGCTTGTTTGATGTTATCACCCCCCATCTGAAGAGGCGGGCGTTAGTTTCCTATTTCACCTGGCTTTGCACGCCATCTGTCTTTTTTACAATGGTTGTAGGTACACATGTGCGTGTGAATAGAGAGAGTGAAACAAGAGGGAATATGCAACAGCCCGTTTAGCACGCATGTGTATTTTCTTTTCGGGGGGAGGAGAGAAGGAGCAGCCTGAGTAAACAGAGGACTTTGCACCAATCAGCAGGCAAACATGCAAAGCCACCGTGACTTGCGAGTCTTGATGAACGTTAAAATCCAGAAAATAAGTGTAACAACCAAAACCTACAATTAGCATATGCATAATATACTGAATAATCTATGTTGTACTACTGCTATCTTAAAAAGACGCTAAAGACATGACATACACTGGAGAAAATAATGGTTTTTATCATTATTAAACTGCCATACGTCACATACTACAGTATCAAAACTGAAAAGGAATGTCCAGTATAAAAGAGGAAAGCTGCAAAATGTCACTTGTAAGTCTGTTGCACACACCAGGAAAGGAAAGACGTGATCATAAGTAAAGTCCCATAAGAGAATGATTAAAAGGAGACAAAATGTTCTCCACATATTCCACTGGGAATCTCATCTTGCTCTGTTTTCCTGTGGTTACGCAATACCCTTCCTGCAAAATCACCCTGAACTTCCTGTGGAATTTTAAACACACACATACAAAGTCACTCCCACTTGCACACACATAAAGCTGCCTCCTAAACACAGCTACCACTAGCTCTTGGACTGAGCCACTTTGCACTATAGAGAAGAAGCGATGAGCCGCGGGGTGTGGTTTTCTGCACTTGGGCTGCTGGCCTGGCTGTGCTGCCTCAGTATGGGGCCCGTGGAGGGGGGGAAGGTGCTGGTTGTGCCTGTGGATGGGAGCCACTGGCTCAGCATGAAAATACTGGTGAAGGAGCTCAGCGAGAGGGGACATGACATTTTGGCACTGGTGCCAGAAACCAGCCTGTTGATCCATGGCTCAGAGAGCTTCAAGACAGAGGTCTACCCTGTCCCCTTTACCAAAGCAGAACTGGACGGAAATTTCAAAGAGCTGAAGGATGGAGTGTTCCTCAAGCCGCCGAAGGTCACAGATTTGTTTATCAACATGCAGCGTTTGGTAAACTTCACGACAGTTCAGGTGACAGCCTGCGAGAGTTTGCTGAACAACCAGCCTCTAATGGGTCGACTGAGGGAAGGGGGCTTCGATGTTTTGTTAACAGACCCATTCCTTCCCTGCGGCTCTGTCCTGGCTCATATCTTTAACATCCCAGCAGTTTATTTCCTGCGGGGACTTCCATGTGAGATGGATCTAAAAGCTAACCAGGTCCCCTCTCCTCGTTCTTACATTCCTGTGGCTTTCTCTGGTAACACTGACATCATGACATTCCCACAGAGAGTCAAAAACATGCTCATGTCTTTTCTGGAGTCCTACATGTGCAGAATTATCTATGCACACTTTGACGATCTGGCCCGAAAGTACATAGGAGACGACATGACCTACAGTAAACTTCTCAGTAATGGTGCAATCTGGCTTCTCAGATACGACTTTACTTTTGAATGGCCCAGACCGCTCTTGCCGAACATGGTTTTTATTGGCGGTATCAATTGTGGAAAGAAGTCTCCTCTGCCTGCGGTGAGTATTCAAAGAATGTATCTCCGTGTAAATAAGCAACAGTTACATCTGGAATCACTCCAGGCAAAATGCATACTGGTGTTGAGTCAGACTGAAGCAAAGCCATTTAAAGTTGATGTAATGAAGTCTACACCATAACATAGAAAAAATACTTGCCAACAGTTTTATATATAAACAATTCATTAAAAGACAATGTAAAATATGAAAGGGGTCATTCATAGTGAAGAACCTATAGACAATGATTACTTAAGTGCTCTGTGCCTACCTAATCTGCAAATGGGTAACTTTGTGCCATGTTAGCCAAAATAAGTAACTCAGGAAGCATAAAGACATCCACTAAGTATTACAAAAAACCTAGATTTCGGGGGCTTGCCAAATATTACAAAACTATAATAGATTGCCTGTAGTACAAGACAGTACTTTGACCTTTGATGTGAATCGGGAGAGAAATATGTTCCAGTAGCAAAACGCAAGTACTTAAATGATTGCTAAGATTGTTGTGTCTGGTAATCAGGATTAACTAACAATGCACTCACAGCATTGTGAAATAACAGGTTTTTTCTGCAGTGTGTGAGATTTGAACAAGCGGATTTGTTGAATATGGCCAGTTTAATCTCTGAAAAGAAGTAAGGGGCCCTGTTGTGTTAACAGTAATCAAATGCTCTACTGGGGCAAAGGGTTTGTTGACATAAGCACAGAGGACATTTTTTTCTATTGCTGAATGTTGATCAAATTAATTCCTTTCAATATATCAGTAAATGGGGCGAAGCCTGCAAGCTAGTTCAGGCAGTCAACTAGAGCACCAATCATACATTAACATGTGACGCACCTCGTCCCTCTTACAACCAACCAAACACATTCTCCTAAACATGCCGCTCTATTTAAGCTGCCATGTCCTCCTGCCTCTGCCTCGCTATGCTGCTGCTGCCACTGCTGTGTTCACGTGCTACAGTATTGCTACAATCATGTTCCTGCTGCTGTGTTTCATGTTGCTGCTGCTCGCCTGCCCCACCACCACCCCAGCTCCACCCCAGCTTCCACCTGTAGGCTCGGGGGATAGTTATCTAATCATCACTCAATGTTCTTTGTAAATCTATGGAGTGATGAGGCCCGAGCCTAGACGCCAAACTCAAACTATATGCTGCTTCTAATAAACATATTAAGAAACACGTGAGTTCTCTGACTGAACTGATAACTAATAACAATCCCAAAACCACCTGACATGTGAAGAGAAATCATAATTTAACAAATTGCCATTCTTCAATAGAGATAATGGCTCTGTAGATTACATACATTTGTTCTGTTCAGCAACATATTCATAATTAAAGCTCACTCATGGAGTTCCATTTATTAGGAGGAAATGTTTGCATGTTAACAGATGAGAAAATAAACACTTAAAAAAAGGAATCATAA